ATTGCTGCCCCTCTTGTGTACATCTCAGAGGAGATGGCAAACCACAGTGGGCACCTGCTCTGGCTGAACAATAACCTCATAATGAATAAAACCTGCAGCACTTTAGCCTGCAGGCAGGGGACATGCAGCAGAGCTCAGGTCCCTTTGGGTGCAGCTGCTGCAGGGAAGGGCTCCCACGTTTCCTATGTGAGAGGGACACTGGTTTAATTTAAAGCAGAGTTTCTCGTTGGGGGAGTCCCAGCAGCTCACATTCCTGGGCCAATGCTTTTGCTTCAACCCATCACAAGTATTTCTGAACAGTCCTGAAGCAGCCAGCATGTGGGTCAGGTGTGTCAGGGCAGAGAACAAAGACACAGACGCTTTGTCTGCACTGAGCCTTGCTGGAAAGCCTGGCTGGCTCCAGCAGAGCTCCTGGCCTCTGCAGCCCCCGCCGGCCGCTCACTCTCATTCTGTATATCCTCTCATGTACGCTGGCTCTGGGCAACCTAGTGACGATGTTAATTAAACGATGGGTCTGGCCTTGCAAAGTCTCCTGAAGCTGTTATAGGAACTGATGGTAAGTTTCCAAACTCCTGACACAGCGGGAGATGAGGACATCTCAGAGAGGTAACCATTGACTAAAGGCCACAGAAACCCTGTCATGCCTCAGGTGGCACCTTGCCCAGGAACCACTCATTTCCCTGTGACACTGGTCAGCAAAGCTTCCTTGCAGAGAGGTTCCTTTTACATGCCGCAGAACTGATCAGATCTGCTGTAAATTCTATAGCTGACTCTTGTTTCCCTCTGCCTTTGGGGGTTGGACTAGATGACCTTTGAAGGTCCCTTCCAACCCAGACTATTCTCTAAGCTATTACAGTAACATGCAGTTCTGTGCTTGATGACCAAGGGAGAGCATTTTCAGTTTCTATCTCCATTTCTTCAAGGATAAAGAAAAGGAGTGCCTGGAAAGTTTTCATAGCCTATTTCCCACACAGGCAGCACTTGATCAAGTAATGTTTGCTTACCACATGCCGGACTAGCTTTGGCACTTCTAATCTGCATCTGCTCCATTTGGGATGCAGAAGGAGCACACTGCAGAAGGAGTAAGTCTGGTCATTCCTAATTCTCTTGCACTAAGGGAAATGATATTAAGGAATTCTCTTTACATTGTTCAGAGCTTGCAGACAACCCCATTCCTTCTCCCCACCCCTACAGCTTTAGAGCTCTCTTTTTAACCTGAATGAACTGTTTGACCTCAAAACCCACATAATTTCTTCCTTAAGCAATAAATTAGGCTGGAGAGCTGAAGTAACTTATCAGAAAGTGTCACATCACTGTGGGTTTTGTGCAGAGGGACAATATTCTGTCCTGCCACTGTGGGGCCATCCCTTGTCACGCCGGGGCAGCTGCTGTGTTTATTTGTGAGCCATTGTGCCACAGGGAAGCCGGAGACACTCGGTATTTAGCTATGAGCTAACACTTCCTGCATCCAGCCCGGCAGCCACGCAAAGCCTGTGAGGTCCCATCCAGCCCACTGGAATTAACTCAGCCATACACCCAAGCAAGCAAGCCCTTCTTCCTGATAGCCACAGCGAGGCCAAAAGCTTTGGGGATCGGGAAGGGATGAGAGGCATCTGCTGCAGAGATGGAGGCTATCAAAAAGACAGGCAGGACACTTGTGCAGAGCACTTGTGGGCAGCAGCTCCTGGGGCTTGACAAAGCCTGGCTCCATAAACCGTGCAAACCCCCTCAAAAACACAGACCTTGGTGCGGAGGGTGCTGCCTGGACACTGCAGGACAAGGGACCGGCTCCAGAGCCCCGGGAGCTGCCGGCACCAGAGCACGGCTGCCCTGGGACGATGGGCTCAGGGGCATGCACTGGGGAGCTCTGCCCCAGAACAGCCAACAACTTCGTGTAGGGGGAATAGGGGGCTCTGCTCCGTGTTAGGCACAGCCAGTGAAACAAGGCAGCTCAATGTTCCTTCACCAGGGCGCAGCAAGGCACTCTCCAGTTCTGGTTTGTGAGGAGGAGGGCTTCATCCTGCAGCAAGGCTCAACAGCGGGGCTCCCACTCCAGTCCCGAAGACGAACCCGCTCTGCAGCGCCGGGAGTCCCCGGGGAGCAGAACCCCTCGCACCGCAGGGGAAGCAGAACCGAGGCCGGGCGGCATCGGAGCCTTCCCCATCCGCCCCACGGCGGAGCTGCCGGCGCAGCCCGGCTGACCCCACACGGCCAAGCCGGGGAACGCAGGCGGCCGGCGGCGGTAGCAGGGAGTGGGGCCCGGCCCGGTGCTGGGCTCTGGCTCCGGTGAGACCTCCGTGCCGCAGGGCCCGAGTCCTCCGGTCTCGCCGTCCCGACATGGAGGCACCTCCTCACGGCCGGAGCAGCAGCCCCCCTCGCAGCGGAGGGTGCCCGCGGGGTCCGGCCCCTCCAGCCCCCTCGCTGCCCTGCACCTCCTCGGGGTGAAGGAGAAAGTGCTCAGTGAGACGCAAAGCGAAGGGGAGGGCTCGGGGCCGGCCTGCAGAGCCCAGCCGTGCCGCGTGTGGCACCGGGAGACGCAAAGGGGATCATAGAATCAACCAGGTTGGAAAAGACCTTTAAGACCATCAAGTCCAACCTTTCCCCACTGCCGCCAAGAGCACCATTAGCCCCTGTCACTGAGGGATTTGTGTAACCGGTTTGTGAACACTTCCAGGGATGGGGATTCCACCACTGCCCTGGGCAGCCTGTCCCAGGCCTGAGCACCCTTTCGGTGAAGAAATTGTTCCTAATCTCCAGTCTAAACTCCTTCATGCCCATCTTAAGGCTGTTTTCTCTTGTCCTATCACTTGTTACTTGAGAGAAGAGACCATCCACCTCCTCTCTCCATCCAGACTGTAATACACACAGCCACCTTCTCTCTTTGGAGACCATCAAGAGAAGCAGCTTTGGTTTCCAATAGCACCCCCAGTGCAGGGGTTACCCGATCGTACTGGTGACCCCATTGCCTGAGCAGAGCACAGCTCAGCAGAGCTGCTCCTCATGGGACATGGGGGGTAACACAGACACGGGTAACTGGAAACAGCAGGATGGGAGAGCTGGTGTAGAGTGGGGGAAGAGAGAGGTGGTATCGACCAAGCACACCCCACAGTCCAGAGTGCAGGGGTGAAAGCCTGCTGTGGAGGCCCAGCACTGCCAGGTCAGTGGTGGAGGTTCGCCTGGTGTCATACATATTCATTGCCAATTAGCCCAATTTACATCTACCTAACTACACATGGCAGTGCCTGAGTGATCACCAGCCTGGAGACACAGCCACAGCAGCTCCTGTTTGAACAACAGTGTCTGCGTTTGGTTTCAGACTCAAACCCCAAACCAGTCTGACCAGCTGGAACCCAGTTTCAGTTACACCCTGCCTTGCTCTCTGTGTGACTTGGTGTGTAATGATCTCACTCCCAGCACACCTCACCTGGTAGCTGCCTCCCCAGGTATCCACACACACTGCATCCCCCTCTCCCAGCCCTCCCCAAGCCATGGGACAGCTGCTGCTGCTGCTGCAGTAACAGCACAGTGCTGTGCCCTGAGCTACCGCAGTCTGTGCAGATGAAAGGGTGCGAGATAGCAGGCATGGGAACGGTACCTGTCCCCTCTGCGGGTCATTGCTTCTCAGACACCACTCCCAAGTCAGATAAAACAAACAATTCGTTTTTATTAGCAGAGTGAGCGCACAAAAACATAAATCAAGATGTCAGGTTTACTGCTTCGGCCATGACAGGCTGTGGGAAAAACAAAGAGATGGAAGAAACGATACGAGAGAGACCATGAAAAGCCATGGAGGACTCAGACCAGCCCCAGGGACACTGATGTAGATGCCCATGATAGGGAGGAGCGTGCAGTCAGATTGCCAGCAGGCTGGGGGCAGGGGTTTCTTCCCTTCCAGCCCAGTGAGGCAGCTCTCCTGAAGCTGCACCTGAACATGCCCTGAGCTGGGCACGGCTACACCAGAGCCTTCCAGAGCCACTGTGCCCTCAGCCCTGAAAGGGTCCAAGCATTTAAACTAGCGTCTGTACATAGATTTATGCTTCTTACACAACACGTGCACACACATGCAAATACACCCTCCCTCCCCCCACCCCCCAATTTCCATTCTTTCCACAGAATGAGTTTTCCAAGAGCAGCAGGCACTGGAAGTCTGGGGATTGGTGCCAACTTCAGAGCTGATAGAACATAGCAGGTACTTCTGCCCCCAGCAGACATCCTCAGCTCCTAGAGGTACAAGCCCAAACCATAGGTGTAGAGCAGCACAGATCTGGGAAGCACCTCACTGCAAACAGCCAAGGGGGAATATATGGACCCTGCCAAAGTGGGGATTTCATATGTTGCCATGGGGTCAGGGATGAGCTCTGGACCTCCTGGGGCTGGAACAGGCCAGCAGGAGCAAGGAAGCCTGGGGACATCAGCTGGGTATCCAGCCCACTTCTGTGCTCTGGGAGATGGCAGGGACTCGGGTCAGGATGCGTGCTTGGACGAGAGCGCTGTAAAATCAAAGCTGCCTCACAGATGCAACTGTGAGGGAGCTGGGTCCTTCCACCTTCCTCTTGCCATCAGCAGGAAAAGTAGGGACATTCCTTTTCTTTCATTTGAGAATAAATAGCTATTTTCTCAATGTGTTTGGGTTCAGAGTGAACACTGGAAAAGCAAACAGAGCAAATCACAGAGAGAAAATAGTGGACACGTACTGTACATAGCAGGCTGTAAAATGGCAGCCAGGCATAAAAAACTCTAGGTGTGCTTTTCTGTTAAAAAGCAAAGCCTAGGGATTAAAGCAGGTATTTCTGCTTCCTTCCATCTCAAAACCAGGAACCACCGGAGAGTGTCACAGAGCCCCTGGAACAGATCTGAATGGTTACATGAATCTCACAGCCCACGAGAGGCTCACCATGACTTGGAGGGCTGCTGGGAGGCAGGGCCACCTTGCAGAGGACTGGGGGAAAGGGAGGAAAGTAAGAGATTGTGTGGAAGAAATTGGCACTGCAAACAAAAACTTGGTGGCTCTGGTGAGCTTTCACTATTCACCAGTGCAAAGGCTACTCAGATCCAGTCCCAGGGTCCTTCAGGAAGTTGAGTGGAGTTGTGCTCCGGGTTTGAGCAGGAAGTAAGATGTAATTCAGAGTCTCACTGGATTGTTTGAGGTTAGGGAGGGACAGACATCACAGAGCATCAAAATGCTCCCAGATCCTCACTTTCCAGAGCAGCCATTTAGCCAACACAATAACAAACACCAGTACTGCCAAATCACGGCTAGACCTTGGCCTGACAAATGTCTTCAAAGGGAAAACGTCCTTCAGGCACTGGCCCGTGTCTTAAAACAGAACTCCAGAAGTTCTGGGGAGTGCCCCATTACTGGGCTGGAGGGGGAGAGGCTGTTGGTCAGACTGGTTTGGTGGCACTGCTGTAAAACAGACGCTCAGTGTCCTCTGTGGTGGAGAGGGTGGAGTTGGTAGCAGTAGATGGCTGATGCCGGCCGCTGTTCTTCCTTTTCTTCAGGAAGAAATAGCCAATGATGGCCAGGACCACCATGATGCAGATCCCGAGGAGCACAGCAATCACTACCTCAAAAGCACCTGTGGGGTTACACAAACACTTTAGAAGCACTGCCCCACACAGCAGCAGCGGTCAGAAAGAAGAAAGCACAAAAGCCACTGCAAAAGCTGTGCTGGCAAAGAGAAGAGGCGGACAATAGCTGGCCTGATAGCAGGTGCTCAACAGGGCAAAGAAAAAAGACAACAACCACAGGGCATAAGGGTATGGCCAGGGTATAGCCAGCCTGTCTCTCCTAAATTATGGCTCCCATCATTCCCCAGATGCAACACGCCCTCTAAAGGCTATTCAGTGACTTCGACAGAATATCAAGCCCTTCCAAAACGCGGGCTTTGCTTTGTATGTCAACAGGGAGGCCACCAAAGGGTCGCAGAAATCATCTCCTGGTTGAGATAAGGCTGTCAGAGTGAGCTATGGTGGACAGGCTAAGTTTGTGGGAAAGAGTCTGTAGCAGTGCTGTGAGCAGTTGGTCTTTTACAACCAACCAAACTCCTGCATCATCAGTGGAGACCGTCAAACATGATGCATTCAGGAGCTGGTGTGAATTTGAAGACTAAATCAAACTCGAGGGTTGAAGAACAAAAGTGTATGTTTTCCGGAGGTCTCTACTGCAGAAAGAGGCCTTCCAGCTCTGTAGGGAAAGGACACGAACCTTAATGTGATATTCTTTTAAGAACTTGTACTTAAATAGCTTTGGTGTTCTTTACAACTGTAAAGAACAATTGCAGAGAAGTTATATAGGGTCATCGGATTTCCAACATTATTCCCGTACCCACTGGTCCCTCTTTTTTTGCAAGTCAGTGGTCCTGAGGTGAACTTGGTCCTTAGGAAGAATTCTACTTGCACTTTTTGATGTTCAACAGTGGAACATTCATGCAAGTTGATGGAAGGAGAATCAGGAGCTTCTGATGGCAGCTACTAAGTCACAGACAAAGGAGAAGTTGGACCACAGCGCACAGAAGCATCTCTTCCCACTGCTGGCATCCCACACATCCCACATTACTCCCTCAGCTTCAAAAGGGGGTTGGAACAGAAGGCTATCATTTGTAAGGAAAGATCAAACATTTTTCAGAACAGGATAAAAGCAACAAGCAAAATCTGTAGGAAAAAATGTTACTCACTTAAGAGACCACTTTGGGGCTCAAATGATTCCCATCTCCGGCCAATGACATCTGCTTCTGAATTTGGAGCAGACAGGAGGAAAAAGATTTTACAAAGAAGGTTGGGAACAAGGGATAAGACAGGTTTCTGAGGAACATATTTCCAGTGCTCTGAAAAGACCGAATGCATACAACTTCCCTCTTGACAGCCATGGTACTGAGCTCTCAGGGCAAGCTGTGAGGCACAGTGTAGCTGTAGAAAAGCAGCAGGAGTTTGCCTCCTGACAGGTCCAGTCTGGCAGAACTCCTCCTGTTTCAGCTGTTGGCCTCCACAGCCACACATACAAAGCTGATAGGATCAACTTTTCCCTCTTGTTTGTTTAAAACTTCAGTCTAATATGTGTCATTGAGGATTTTCTTGATTTCTCGTCTCCCAGTTGGGGAGAACTGGAGCCAAGCTAGAAAGTTAGGTTCTTTCTAGAGAGGCCATACCTTATCTCTGGTTAGTTTTGTCATCCTCTTCTGTCCCTTTTTCAACATCAGCACCCAAAATGTTTTCCAGCTCTGAGAAATGACAGGCTGCATTGCAGAAACACGCTGTAGATACACCCCATTTCCCACAAGCCATCAGTCACACTGAAGAACGCTGTGATGGATGGCCAGGGTTTGAGAGCAGAGCTGCTTTGACTGAAAGCTCCTAAATCACTGCCTCTTTTGGGACCACAGAATTTAATCTGGAGTGATTTTCATAATTTCATCAGTAAAACTTTAGCCTTCACTATGTCTGCTTACTTGTGATGCCTGAACATGATTTCATGCACTCGTCCTCCTTTTCAAAGTTGTTGTTGTTGCCTCCACAGCCCCCATAGGTGAAGGGGTCACATTTCTCAGAGAACGGGTTGTAGTACCAGCGAGGGATGCTCTCGGTGCACTGTCCAGTATCAGGCAACTCCACACAGTGATCTGGCAAAGCAAAGGAGATGTGCTCTAGCCCAAGCAGAGTAACAACATCTTCTGCTCCCAACAGGAGAGTACAAGCACTCTGGCAGAGGAAATCCATGGCCAGAACAGAGGATCTCAGGTCCCCACCACTGCCCAGTTGCCAGCTGCTCAATCTGGCATTGCCACAGTGAGATGCCATCTGCCCATAAACCCAGCTAGCAGGGAGGAACATCAGAGGAACAGTGTGCAACTGTGCTAGACCTTGGATCCAGCCTCCTGCAGGAATGATCTGTGCTCTTAGGGAGGCAGAAGGGAACAAGAAGATCCTGGACACACAGAAACCACAGTTCATCTCAGGTCTCCGCACTTGGGATATACTCTTTTAACCAGTGACAGTACCACTGTTTACACTGGTACAAACAAGACAAAGATATGGGACTGAGCACAAGCATATGCCATTACTGGTATTATGCCATTGCTGTGTCACTCACAATGCTTTGGTTTGTGCTATTTCTAAAACCAGCCATTTTTGGAATTATACAAGGAAGCAGTTTTACCATGAAACAACAGACTGAAGAAGAAAACAAAAGCTGGTAGATGTCAGCCTACGGGACGTACCTTGCTGGTGTGTGACATTGATTTTCTGTAGTCTGTTGAACTCACGAGCATCTGCAAGAGCAACATTTCATGTTAAAACTTCTGTCACCAGCTGAATGCAAAAGAAAAGCTTCTGTCCATGCAGACATGAGCAGACAGGGGTTTCCTGCACATTCCGCTATGACAAGCCAGGGAAAGAGAGAGATAATTTGTCTCAAAGTTGTGAGAGGAACATGGGAAAAATAAAATAATGAGAAACTATTCCCAGTATCCATTCCACAAATACAGAGACAGAACTAAGGAAAACAAAAGCTGCTTTCTTATTATATTTTTTCCATCAAAAAGTATGGGGAAACTGTTATCACTCCAGTAGTGCGAAAGAGCACAAGTGTAGGATATGAGAGGGCAAGAGGGATGAATTGTAAGCTTGCAACCTAGAAAGGCAACAGGACACCCACATATAGGAAAGAGACTAGGGGAACTCCATGAGAAGAGAGGGAAGGAGGGACTATGGACTTGGGCAGCTTACCACTGTGCATTTACATTAACATAACACGAGGATGTTAAGGGGACTGTGACACTGGACACACTGGGAGAAATCATGGTTTCATTTCCCAACTCCCTGCTCTATGAGAGCAGGTAAGGTCATCCAGTGAGAAAAATATGGGAAGAGGTGAGGAGGACAGGCTCTGAAGTCTTACAGACAGGAGCAGAGAAGAGAGTTGGAAAGTATTTAAGAGGCAGGAAACATCCCAGAGGGAAGATCAGCTCTTGCAGTCAGCAGAGATACAGGAGATGGCAGAATCTGCAAATACACCACCACAGGAAGAGATAATGCAGGGTCAGCAGATAAGAACAGAAGGCACCAAAAAGCATTGAGTCAACACCTGTAACTTACATTGCTCTCATCCGCAGGCAGATACTAAGTAGTCTAAGACAGAATTTGAAGTACTTACATCGTTCACAATACATCTCATCTGATCCATCAGCACAGTCAAGAGTTTCATCACACTCCAGATAAGCATCGATGCAGCAACCATCCTTGCATTTGAAGAATGGGGGTTGACACTTCCCATTGCACACTGCATCAGAAACAGTTCAGATAGAGCATTAAAATTCTCCCTGCCACACAGATGCTTTATGAAGGACTTAAAAGCTGTTGATAGGGCTGGCAAACAAAAAAAACCCCAGATGGGTTAAGTTCTGTTTTCAGTGCCACCCTGAGTGTAAATGAAACACTGCTCTGGGAACAGTGATGCTTCCACTCAGAAAATAAGTACACAGAAAGTGGAAGCAAGAATGAGCTATTCAAGAAGAACAGAGACATTGCCCAAAAGAATATGGAGACATTGCCCAAGCATGGGGGATTAAATTAGGAAAACCAAACTGAAACCTGCACACTGGGCTGCAGGAACCAATGGAGAGGAGCAGTTACTCCCCTTTGCTCCAGAGGTGGTCCCAAATGCTGAGTGCTGTGCCCAGTTCCAAGCTTCCCAGTGCACAGAAAACATTGGCATACTCAAGTGAATCCAGTAGACTCAGCAAGGGGCTGGAGCACAAGACCTAGTGTGAGGTTTTGGAACAGATAAGAGACAGGCTCCTTTTGGAGGTGCACAGTAATAGGACAAGCAGCAACAGACACAAGTTGCAACAAGAGAAAATGATTCAGTATGAGAGTAAAGTTATGACAAAGATCAAACAAAAATCTCCTTTATCAGATACCCAGAACTGGACTGGATGCAGTCCTGAGCAACCCAATGTGACTCAAAGCTGACCCTGCTTTGAGTAGTGGGTTGGACCAGATGACCTCCAGAGGTAATCCCCAACCTGAATTATCCGATGGCATGAAAGTGAAAGGCGTAGTAAAGACATGAGTCTCCTGTGCCTCCCTTTCCACACTGAGTGAGTGCTAATCAAAAGCCACAGGAATGGACGTGAGACACCCAGCCTGAGCTCACAGCAAGATTACACAGCGGTACGGGAGGCTCACCTGGCTGCTGTCGCCCACCAACAGAACCTGAGAGACGAGGGAAAAAATAGAACAAATTTACCACCACACCCTTTTGTCAGCTCAAGATCAGCTTCATACTGCCCTCATATCTCATCTAAGAAGTGCTTATATTCTGGAAGCAAGCCCTGTAGGGGTTTTGGAGGGGAAATATGGATGCCCATCACCTGGAGACCCCAGATGAGTAGTACCCACATGAGGCAGGCCTGGAGGAACAGAGGGGAACTTCCCACCACGAGCTAGACCATTCCCAAATGGGAGTGAAGCACTTCTGGCTCCTCCACAGTACATTTCTACCCAGTGAATTTAGGTTTCAGATGTGACATGAAGATTTGGTGAGTATTTCTGCAGCCAGAGATACACTAGGGACAGTGACACGGGGAGCAGTGCTCCAGGAGCTGGGTCAGATACGTCGGCAGTGACCCCATTCATAATTAGCCAGGTCTCCTCAGCCCTCTGGGCTCTAACTAGCTGCCAGCCAGAAAGCTGCAGTACCTGCCTACGGAGTCATCCCAATCCTATGGGAAAGAGGGAACAGATTTCTGAAGAAGACTCACCTCTAACATTCTTGCAGGCGAGCTGACACTCCTCTTCCCTTAAATAGTTATTCTTGTTGGGCTTGCAGCCACCAAAAATGAACTCCTCACACTGCTGAAGGCTCGGGTTGTAAAACCAGCGCGGAAAAGATCCCCGGCACCAACCCACCTTCTTAGGAGTCAAACAATGCTCTATGATAAAGTCAACACAAAAGGCTCTGGTTAGCTGGCTTTGCCTTCACATCTACAAAGGAGAAACTCTTCCAAAGGCCTTATCTAGAAGAGTTATAAAGTCCTGAGCAGCATGGAGAAGGTGAGCAGGGAATCCTGGTATATATTTTCTTACATGGAAGGCAGGGTCAAAAAATCAAATTAGAAGGTGCCACATCCATAAAACAAAAGGAGCTGCTTTTCCACACAACACATAGTTAAGCTGTGTAACTACTTGCTTCAGGATGTTGTTGCTGTTGTGCAAAGATTACGCACAAAAAGGGCTATTAAACACAAAGACACCACCTTCTGCTTAAAAAACCTCCCAGCTACAAATTCCTTGGCACTAGCCAAGCATAGTAAGGATTTACTGATAGCATGCCATGTTCTTGTACCCTTTCCAGAGTATCAGCCTCTGGACACTGTTGAATGCAGTGTACTGGATTCTGTATGGACCATTAGTGCCACTTGATATGACTCTTCTTGTATTTTTATGGTACCTGTGGTAGGAGCAGAAATTTCCTGCTTAGCTACTAATCAACCATTTGTCCAAGAACTCTGTGATCCTAACGCACTTGTGATGCTGAACATTTTGGTCATTAAAACCAGCCATTAATAAAGCAAGCCAGGGACGCTTTGAATGTCAAGCAGGCAGCTCCACCTATCCTGCAGCTTAAGGAAATTAGGGCCTTCACACCGAAACCATGGAGTCAACAGGGCATTTCAGGTTCTCCTCTCTTACAAACTCAGCTGCACCCCAGGCTTCAGCCACTTTGGCGTCACCCAGCAGAGGGCATGATGTGCAGACAGGATGGGGTTATTGTGGGCACCTCTTCTGCAAGGGGATGCTAAAACCCTAAAACAGACCACTATGAATGTGGAGACCTTCCACTACTGGTCAGGTGCTGGCTGTTACTGGGAAAAGCTGACATGCAAGTCTAATCTCTTGGTTATGCTCTTCTCCCATCTACTTCTCTGAGAAGAGCATCACCCAGGCTTGGGGACTCCATCTAGACATCCGTGGGCTTAAGCTCACCTTCAGTCTGCTCAGAATCCAGCACCATGATGGTGATGTTGGTGAAGTCCTGCTGTTGTGCAGTGTCTGTGACAGTAAGCTGGAAGACGTAAATCCCTGCCTGTAGGTTGGAGATCTCTACTTGATCGTCTTTGTGCTTCTGAGAATGCAAAAGAAAGGCTTATGCAGAAGAAGTACCTCTAATGAGGGAGTGAGTGAAGCCACGCAAAGCCCATGTTCCTGCATTAGGAAGAAAGCAGCTTGGCTACAAACGCCCAAGCAGATGTCTGGCATGAAAAATGTCTCAGTGCTGTACAATCCCCCGAAATCCATGGGCTGGTACCCAGCTGGAACAGCAGTGAGAAAGAGTACCACAGGTGTAAGTAGATATTTCATATTTTGGGGCATTGTGAAGGCACGAGGGACAATAAACATTTTTGGAGAGGACTGAAACAGTTTTTATTTTACTTTTTAAGAAATAAAACTTATTATGAATCCTTTACTTAGCACATAGGGAATAAACCAGGTGTATTTAAGATATATACACTCTTTCATCTTAAATATGACAAGTATATTCCATTTTAGAGATGGAAATGAGTGCATATTTTTGCCTGCTGAGAGGTTTCTAAAAGAGAGGGAATTATTTTTGTCAGAATAGAAAGCTGTGATTACTGACACAAAGGCTGTGTGGAGACCTCATAGCAGCCTTCCAGTATCTGAATGGAGCTTATAAGGATGCTGGGGAGGGACTCTTCATTAGGGACTGTAGTGATAGGACAAGGGGTAACAGGTTAAGACTTAAACCAGGGAAGTTTAGATTGGATATAAGGAAGAATTTCTTTCCTGTAAGGGTGGTGAGGCACTGGAATGGGTTGTCCAGGGAGGTTGTGAATGCTCCATCCCTGGCAGTGTTCAAGGCCAGGTTGGACAGAGCCTTGGGTGAGATGGTTTAGTGTGAGGTGTCCCTGGCCATGGCAGGGGGGTTGGAACTGGATGATCTTAAGGTCCTTTCCAACCCAAACTATCCTATGATTCTATGATATTTGCTAACAATACTGGGCCTTCATTTCCATGCTATCTACCTTTTTTGGTTTCTGTTTCAAGAGAACACAGTGCTGCTTATGGATCATCTTAATGTAGTTAACAAAGAATAATACACGAGGACTCTTTTTTGGGGTCTGGTTTTGGTTTGTGTACCCTCACACAAGTTACTTTGGCTGTGATAGGGGAAGGGAAAAGGAAAGGAGCACTTGCATATTTGCAGAGTGCCCTCGGAACCCTACAGCTAGTCATTGCATCTTCAAAATCAGCTGTGGGCCTCATGCACTCATTTGCTAATTCTTCCAAAAGGTGCCACAAGATCTCTGTATCAGCTCCAAGGCTTTCCAGGGCATTTCACACAAGTTTAACAGTAATCATTTGCTCTTCTAAAGCCACAGTTCACATTTAATATCCACCAGATAGGCAGTGTTCACACCTTGGAGATCTTGGAGCCAGTCAGGAGATGTGGCTTCTGCTCCAGCTCAGATACAATAGGAGGAGGAAACTATGCTCTAAAGAGAGGCAAAGTCCAGGAAAAACCCCAGAACAGAAGCAGATCCTGAGGCTGGATTATTCAGACCCAAAGGAGTAGAAGCACCAGAGCATAAGTAAGGGCAGGCCCCTCATTGAACTACAGGAGCTTGGGAGCAGAATCAGCTCTTGCATGAAAGCTGCTTCCCTTTCAAGTACTCCCACCCAGGAAGAGGAGGTGTTGCTAAGGAAGGTTTGAGATGGCATCCTGGTGCAGGGAGCCTGCAACCCAGTGAGGCCAAGAAATGCCATGTCCCCAGTGCGAGAGGCTGGGGTTAGCCACAAGGACACAAGGAGTGCTCCACAGCCTTTGGGAACAGGCTTAGGGGTGGACTGTCTCAAAGAGGGAAGTCAGTGGCTGTGAGAGCCCAGCCTAATGCAGGTGACACTGAGCAAGCTGCTTGCTTCCTGCAGCTCCCTACCTTCATCTCCACGGAGGGGTTCCCGACGACCTGTTTCCATTCATAGCTTACTATCCCTCGGTCATCCGTGCTCTCTATGCCTCTCAGCATCACTGGCTCTCCCGGCTGTACCCTCATGTCCTTGGCAGTGCGGGCTATTGGAGGACGGTCATCTGCAGAAGAAAGGCAGAACAAGGTTTGAGTAAGAGGCTGAAGGGTCCAGTGCGTATCTCCATTACAAGAAGACAAGGGAGGGGGATTCTTCTAGATTAAATCAATACAGACTTCAACCACTGAAAGGAAAACACTTTCATACACCTGTACTTGCAGCCTTAGCACGCAACAGGCAATCGATACTGTTATTACTGCCCTCACTAATTTCATGATGCCACAACCCATTCTGGCAGTGCCTTTGAACCAGTTGGCTCCCTGGCCACTTCTGCCCATAGGAACCATTGTAAGAGGGTGTTCCTGTAGCTCCAGCCATTGAGTTCTGTCTGTTGGACCACATCCTCGCAAAACAGCACAGGGCAATCTCCACCCTTCACTTAGGGAGATGACCTGGTGTGAGTGTTGAAGAATGTGGAACTGATTCTCACCATTCCTGCCACCATCTCTAAGCACTGTGTTAGCATACCTAACCAAGGCTCTGCAATGCAGGATTTGGATGGGAACTATCCCTCCACCACCTTATATTCCACCCCATTCTCTGACACATATGGTTTAAATGCCATGGCACACAAATGCCATTCATGAGATCATTATTTTTGTGCCATTCCATGGATTAGCTCACCAGCAGCTTCCACAATCCATAAACACGTTTCCAGACTGTAAAAGATGAAAACTGATCCCTGGCTGTGCCAGCAAAACCAGCCTATACAATGACACCATTAAGCCTGACTCATAACTGCTCTCAGCCTCAATGCCTCTGATCACGGGCTTTCTGCAGAGCCCATAAAACTACACCTGGTAGTGCCTGTACCGAGTCCAACGTTCAATGTCCAGGTTCAACCTGAGTCTTTTGTAAAGGTATCGATATATAAGCTAGATATAAATCACTCAACCATTACACTGTTATATTGACTGTGACTGAGGAGGAGGATTAGTGCCCTACTCCATCAGGTAATTATTTTCACTGTTGTAGACTTGCTCCTAATTTCCTGTTTGACTGTTTCTGGATTCAGGTACCAGCTGCTGACTCTTGCTACAGCCTCCTGAAGGGACCTTTAATATAAGGCATATACAAATAAACATGACATTCAAAACAAGCTACTTTTTAGTTCCCTCATCACTACACTCAGTAGGATCGTGGGCTTTGCAACATGCATTCCTGCTCAGTTATCACAAACCCACCCAGAACCTTCTATTTTCTAGTATCTTTTACCAACTGAAGCCACATTCATTCCGCCCTGGTCTTACAGATGCTGCTGCCACCAGGAAGTCACAGAGGAAACAAGCCTTCCCTTGTTTACACATCTGAGCATTGTGCCCAGCCTGTTTGGCTACAGAATCAGGGAGGGTTTGTGTGTGCCACCTTCTGACGTTCCGCCTCCAGGCTGCTCCTGTCCTATCACTTGTTACTTGGGAGAAGGGACTGATCTCCACCTCACTCCAACCTCCTTTCAGGCAGTTGCAAGGAGTGGTAAGGTCCCCCCCTGAGCCTTCTTTTCTCCAGACTAAACACCCCCAGGTCCCTCAGCCATTCCCCATCACACTTGTGCTCCAGACCCTTCACCACCTCCGTTGCCCTTCTCTGGACCCACTCCAGCTCCTCAATGTCTCTCTTGTAGTGAGGGGCCCAAAACTGGGCACAAACAGAACCTGAACAGAGAAGACAAGCAGAGATGCCCACCCTGGTGTCCTCTCACCTTTGGGTGAGGCACACCTCCCTACCACTCCTTCCTCAGGGCTGCATGCCACAGGGATGGGTCCTACCTCAGCCTGGCACAAAGGCTGCTGAAAGACACCCAGCAGGGCCAAGGGAGCCCAACACCTCTTGGTTTTGATAGGGTCAGTAGAACAAATACATGGAGTTTTGCTCTATTTACAAGTGGCCACAGAACATTCACAGGTGAAGGCCATGACTGAAGTTGGCAACACCTTCCAAACCAAACAGCCCCACAAGCACCTTGTACACAGCACTACAAGCTCTGGAAAAGGGACACATTCCTGCCATGGAGAAACGCAGCCTGGTCCCTGCCACCCAACTGCCAGGGTGAGCCCAGGAGGTGACTGCAATTGCACAAGGACAAGACCAGTTCTTCAGCCGCACAGAGGCTGATCATGAGCTCCCAACTCCAAAGCATGTTTTCCCTTCCCGTCTTTAAACATGTACACTTATTGCAGACCAAGCACTTCTCCACAGGTCCATACAGCTACACTGGGTTGTGGATTGCAAAGCCTGGTTCTACTCAATGAGTCAGCAACTTCTCCAGATCCCATCTCTGAGGACCCAAATCCCCTGAGCCTCCTCACCTCCAGAAGAAGCAGCCAGGAGCATTTGCGTATCTGTGGTGACTGCCAAGGAGGAAATCCCTCTACGAATGAAGGACTTCAAGTCTCTGCCTCTTCTCCTCAGGACATCTGAAAGCTTTGGAGTATTTCTGCTACACTGACTGTATGAAGCTTTCAGTGGCAATGGGGCTGTTCTCCACCTGAGCCTCACAACTGAGCGCTGACTGAGGCAGAGTACTAGCAAACTGCTTGTAGAAGGGAGATTCTCCATTGTGTGTTGCTCTGAAAGCCTGTTTGAAAAAGGAAAGTTACCTTTGCTATAATGCTCTATTGACTGTGGAAAGTTTCTGCTGTAAAACTCTGTAATTAAGAGGGAGATTAAAGCTTTATGATGCTGCTCTGTACTGCGTGCTTTTACTGTGGAACATGCTCCTGGAGTCATGTCATTAAGTGACCACTTCCTCTTCCATTTATAAAATACATTGGAAGGTGAAATTTCTTTATGATCCCGCAGAAAAGCTTGATAAAGTAAATCCAAAATGGTTAAAGCCACATCTGTGTGGCTCACAGTGTATTCCTGCACCAGTGAAATCCTGCAGCAGGATGCCTTTGCTTTCAGTATGGAGATTTCTCTTTTAGAGCTCTGATACCAGCTCTTGCCCTGGAGACACAGATTCACAGAAAACCAGATCTCCTCCATTCCAGCGCGCATGCAGATGAACCCTGAGTACTTGAGGCTGTAAAGCAATGCTTGAAAGTACCCAACAATGATTCAAGGTTGTCACTAGAAAGAGCTGGAAAGCTTTCTCATGGTCACCAGAGGGGCTTTTACAGCCCTTTGTTGTCTGCCATTGGAGAAGCAGCTTATGGGGACACTGAGGCACTGTGAAGCAAGGACCTCACTGGGCACAACTGCTCAATGTAGACGGGAGCAGAAATGAGGCCACCCAAATTCCAGCACCCACGAGACACACAACCTCAGAGATTCCAGGGCTCAGAAGCCAGCTGAGCTGGCCTGCTGCAAGAGAAGGTGGGCAGAGGCAGGAGCAGCAAAGGCTGAAGCTCTGCTCTTGTGATGCTCACAGGGAAGTCATTCAAAAGTGAACAGCTTTCAGGGAGCGTTCATTCAAATCGTGCCCACCAACACTAGAAAACTCTCCATTGCAACAGGCAAAGGTAATAAGGGGTGATGATGCTGCCACACTGTTAATTTGCCTGAGGAGGGGGAGAGGGAGATGGGAACAAGGCAATGCAACAAAGCAGAAAGAGAAATACAGGCTCCTTCCATAAGGATTCATTCTGGATGGGCAGCAAATACAGTCATGCTAAAGCCATGAAGTTTTCTGACAACTCATGCAGAGCCGAGCAGCTCTCAGCTTTAGTTACTAGAGGTTTCTATAGCGGTTTGTAAGAGGTGTACACAGCAGGTCAACTTCAGCTCTCCAAAGCAGCACAGCATGACTGAATGGGTTGTGTTTTCAGCATAAGGCAACTTGTTGCTGCTGCCAGGCTCCTTCCATCCTTCCTCAGGGCATGGGAAACCAGGCTGGTTTGCTTTAGTGGGCAGAGGGAAAGACTCTCCCACTAAATGGTCTCCATGAATGGTCTTCATGCCATTCAGTGACAATTGGTTTGTTCCCCTGGTCTCCTCAAACAGCTCCAGAGATAAGATGTGAAGTATCCACAGCAGGCGGCAGGTCAGTGAATTCTGCATGACAAACAGGAATCTCCCTGCAAGTGAATTTCGCAGCTTCTCTGGGCACCCTGTACCAGGGCCTCACCACCCTCACAGGGAAGAATTTGTTCCTAATATCTAATGTAAACCTACCCTGTTTCAGCTTAAACTGAATGTGCAGTTCCAGCCCCTCCTGGCCACACATGGATGCTGGAGGATGAGCAGCTGGCTCAGGACTGAGCAGCACCAGCCAAGGGGAGACCAGTGTCGCGACCCGTCTCAGCCCCAGCCAGGATCCAAGCACTGCTTGTTGCAGCTGCACTGTGCCCATAGAACAGAAAACATCATGGGACCAAGCATGTGAAGACAGATGAGCTTCAAACCTGGGAAGTTCTCTTCATTAGGGACTGTAGTGACAGGACAAGGGGTAATGGGTTAAAACTTAAACAGGGGAAGTCGAGGTTAGATGAAGAGAAGTTCTTTACTGTGAGGGTGGTGAGGCACTGGAATGGGTTGCCCAGGAAAGTTGTGAATGCTCCATCCCTGGCAGTGTTCAAGGCCAGGTTGGACAGAGCCTTGGGTGACATGGTTTAGTGTGAAGTGTCCCTGCCCATGCAGGGGGATTAGAACTGGATGCTCTTAAAGTCCTTTCCAACCCAAACCACTCTATGTCCTATGGTGAGGCAGCAGCAGACGGATCCTGAACACAACCCCAGTGCTTCCCATCTCCCACTCAAAAGCCCTGAATTCAGCAGGAGGAGGATGTCACCAAGCATTTCACAACCACCACAGAAGGCTCAGTTCAAGAAACGGACAAAGGTTCAGGGAGGTTATTTTCCAGCTTCACACCCAGAACTGGTCTGCCCAGACCAGAATAAGCTCAGAGTAGTTACTTAAACACCGGGCTCCATTATTACCTATAAAGTGCCTGGTGAGCCTGCCCCTCCCGAATGAGCCAGGCAGAAAACTCGCACCAAAGTTCAGGCTGGGGAATCGTTTAAGAGGATGGTGCCTTTTAACAACAACATCAGAGACTTGGGGCTCTACGTTAGCTGGAACAGGAGAAAGACACAGCCAAGCTGTCATCACCGGCTTATAAATGACTCAGACGCTCTTGTGAGTTTCTCCAGAACACTGAAAAACCACTCAGAGGATGTGCAGAAGCCAGATTTCAGCTGTATTCATTGTTGCCTCTACCCTTAGGTTGGCTGCAGCGGGTTAGAGCAAGGGTGTTTCTGTTCCTGTGTTCCATTGCCAGCAGTTCCACTGTGGAGCAAGAGCAAACATACACAGTGCATCCCCCCCTCACACTGTCCCTGCTTTCAGCTGCTTCTATCAGCTCCAGAAACACTCCAAATCTGCCCCATTCAGCAGCCTCCAGCTGTGCTCTCTCTTTCAAGCGTTCTTCAGTCTCCTCCTGAACATATAGAAACCTCCCAATTCAACAGGTCTGCTCCCTGCAGTAGTGAGGGTCTCGCAATGGGTGGCTTTCTTGTTTCACGTCACCCACTGGGGTCACTAAAGATATATTTCACCATTCACTAGAAACAACATGCTTTTAATCCTGCAGAGGACATCGCCACATGGACATAGCCTAAAGGCTCCTAGGACCCCTGAGAGCAGCACATAATGAAAGGGATGGATGATAAAGCAAGACATAAGCTTCCTGCAGACCTTTAGAGCCAGTCTCAGGGGGCTGACAATAACTTAGGCTCCAGAGCAGCCACAGAGCTTTGCATTTTAACAGCGATACAGCACAACAGCAGGAAGATCAGACAGTTCGGTCTCCAGCCCAAAACCTGGGCCAAGACCTTTTTGCCTGTAAACATCTGGGAGGAAAACCTGACATTCCAAAACCAGCTTCCTTAACACTCATTTCACCTGGTCTCTTCAGGCATCCTCAAAAGGTCCAGAAGCAAAAATGCCATACAGCTTCCTTATGCTGCTGGGTGGACACACTCAGTGGCCAAGAGGCTCCCTCATTTGGCCTCCTGCACCTTTGTGTGCTTCCCCTCTTTTAGGTGCCAGCCAGGCTCCCACCTTCCCGCCCAGACCCAATTCCAGCATCATGCCGCAGGGGCTTGGGGTTTGGATCTTTTTGTTTGGATCTGAACCAAAATCAAGGTCAGCATTCTGAAGTTCTCAGCTGCTGTAGGAAGGAGGTCCCAGTTCATGGGGTCTGATTTGGCCCTTGTTATTATTTGCTATTTCTCCAGTAAAATAAACCTTTTTCATCTCTGGATTAATGAACTAATTATCCTCCATCTCTTTTCCTACCAGCCCTTTGATGTCATCCAGCGTGATTCAGAAAGCTTTGGGTATCAAAGACAATGCCCAAGAATGTCAGGAGAGGAGGGAAGCACATTTCCCATCGAAGCACAGCATGAACATTGCAGCCTGATCCAAACATGAAGCAGCGAGCTTCCCAGTGTCTGTTACTGCAGCCTGGCACCCTGCACCCTCTGAGAGTGCCAACACAGGGTGCAGAAGGGAACAAGCCCTTCCTACATGCACAGCTATCATGGCATGTGAGCAAGGAAGGGTACACCTGCCTTACAGAGTATCCCCAGCAGCATTTCTGGTATGTTTCCCACTTCTCACTCATAAGTCTTCCAGGGTTTTCCAGCTCCACCACTGTCATCCCAGCATCTGTGAAAGTAGGGGATGGTTCTCAAGGCAGCATCGGCTGTCAGCGGCTGGGATGCTCCAGGTAGGTGCCATGGATTGGGGAATACAGCACTGCTGGTGGCACATGGAGTACAGTGACCCAGGGACACTTCCTAGGATCCACACACATGCCATGCCAGGCCCTGGGACCAGCCAAGGGAGAAGCGGGTTGCAGTCTCCTGGTACAAGGTGCTGGTCCACAGAGATGAAGAGGCTGAATTGCTCAACACTACACTGTATTCTGATCCAATCTTGTGAAATCAGGATGTACTGGGGATGATGCATTCCTTTTTCCTCCTACAACAAAGCATGTAGAAATGCAAGCAGCTGCCAGCATGCCACCGCCAGTCCTGGCGATGTGGGCTTTACTTCCTCACGTGGAAAGGATTTTAAGCCTGGAATGAAGACACAGAACTACTGCAACTGTGAGGGAGAGATTTACTAGAAGGCCCTAAAATCCAGTGGGAAGCAACTAGGAGAGACAGAGGACAAAAGGAATACCTCTGCCACATCCCTCTTCAAACCAGTGACACCCAAGGGTGGCTCCATAGGAGCCGAAAGCCCTGCACTGCTACTCAGGACGGACAAAGCGGTCAGTGTGGGGTTTGGTGCCAGTGCACACCTCCAAGGCTCACAGGCTGGCATATCCCAGCAGAAGATCAAAGACCTATTCAGTTCATGCCATAGAGCCCAAGCCCATGTGTCCACTCCCCTGGTCGTCATCACAGATCTCTTCCCCACCACGGCTGGGCTGGGAAGGGGTTTGAGGAAGATAACCCATACATATCCCCTGATACACGCATACAGCCCAGATACATACCCAGATATACCCATACAGCCCTGCCCAAGCACCAACATACAATAAACTGGGCATGGCTGGCAAAGTCTCAGCCACACCAGAGACACGCCAGCCTTGCCAGGCTTCCTCTGAAACATGGAAGAAGGGGGCAAAAAGAGGAGTTGCCGTGGTTTCAGTGTTTCTGAACACACCGCATTCCTTTGGAGACAGCCAGCTCCACATCAGCTTGTTTTCCACCTGGTTTTGTGGGTCTGGGTGCAGGGAACCAGAGGGGAAGAGAAACCCACCTCCAAATGGGAGGTTTTCTATCAGCCTCCCCCAGCAGAAACCCCACCTCAACAAGCAGCGATATGGAGACACCTCCCCACCCAGGCTGCCGCTCACAGCGTTGAGGCTGTGGCTGAAGCAGAGGTAAGCGGCTTGAGTCCTGCCTCCAGCCCCTGAGCAGCCCTTTAAAACACGGGGATGTGTGGATTTTGAGGGGATTTCACTTTCCAGCCTCAAAGGCCTGGCGGCAGGGAGCAGGGAAACAACTCCTTTTGCTCTACAAGGATCAAAACCCAGCTTGCATTTGGTGAACAATCACTTCACCCACTTCAAATAGGTTAAAGGAGAGTTCCCTCTCCATTCACTAATAGGTAAACTGAGGCACAGCTCTTAAGTGAGTTTATCCAAGTTAGGGAAAACCTCTATGGCAGACCATAGAAATAGACCATTTTCTATACAGAAACCCCATTTTTAACACTGCTTTATCCTTTGGTAGCACAAATGACAGTTGGAGGAGCTGGCACCAATGGCCATTTACTCTTTTCCAGCCCCGGTTTGCACAGATCCATTAGGGACACCTTACCGTTCGACCTGGGATCCTGCATTGCCAGGTAGGAATCGTACACGTCCTTCCTCAGGAAGTTGAGGAAGCCGACCTTCCTGGCAAACCTGCAGACAAAAGCCTGCTCGTAGAGGCAGTTGAGGAGGAAGCAGCCCCGGATGTGGTCTTCCTCCGTGCCCGGGTCCTGCTCCACAAGAGCCAGGTTACAAGCAGGCTCCCTACAGCAGGCTCTTATGCAGTCCCTCCTCCGGCGGGCCATGGGGGACGACAGGAAGGTGGCTCCATTCTGGACAGAGGCGTCTGTATCCAACACCAAATCCGGCATTCCTGCCCTAAAGTCCTCCAGGCACGTTTCACCGAAGGGTTTTCCCTCCTGCCCTTCTCCATAGTCCACCGCCAGCACCAAGCAGACCCAGAGCACGAAGTGCGGACCTGGGCTCCCTCTGGCCATCTTGGCGCCCCGATCCTCACCACCTTGAGTCCTTAATCCCTTCCTGAAAGAAGGGAGAAGAGAGATGAAGGTGAGAGTGACGGTGTCCAGATGCGGGGCTAATGCGTCCCCCCACCCTGCAACACATCCCCACGTACAGGCTCTCAGCCCTTACCTGGGCTCCGATGCTGGGAGCGGGGAGTCCGCCTCGTCCCCCCTGTGGTTCACCCCTCAGGTGTGCCCTCGGCTGCATCCAGCGCACACAAAGGCCCGCGGATCCCAGGAAGTGAAAACCAACTCCCCGGGAGAGGGGGGGGAACCCAAGGCACTCCCCTGCGAGCTGAGTTGCGTAAGAGGAAGGGGAGGAGAGCGGGGTGATACCGGCGTCCACTCTGCGAAGGGAGCGCAGGTTCCCTCCCATGGGAGCCATGTGCACGCAGGTGTAGGCACCCACTCGGGATGAGCATCCTGCCGGCCGGGTGCTGGCTGCATCCCCGTGCTGAGGGTGCACCCAAAGCTGGGGAGTCTGCCTCCAGCAGCGGCACTCACGTTCCAGCTGCGTCTCTGCTGTGAGAGGTTTTGTGCTCATTGAAACCATGAATCCCCTGCTCCTCGGACGCGATTCCTTTGGAGTGAAAGCACTTGGTAGCATGTCCAGGGGCTGCCCTGCCACCGCAGCAGTGAAAACTTAGCAGCCACCCGTAGCTGCTTGTCCTGGCTTCAGCGGTAGCAGTCATTTTTCTCCTTGGTAGCTGGTGCGGTGCTGCGTTTTGCTTCATCTCATACAGATCGGTTGTGGTCTGTTGGTAGTGCCCTGCCTCACAGGACGGTGCTGTTTGGGCACACGCAGGCTGCCTGCCATAACGTCCATCTATTTTCTCCTTTCCTGCTTCCACTCAGAGGCTCATGCTCAAATTAATAGCTCAACAGACACAGCAGTGTTGTCCACCCCCGTCTGACTGTGAACAGCCCTAAAGCCCCTGGATAAACTGTTCTTATCCCTCTGTCATAGTCCTTAGGGAGGCAGGGAGTGCTTGTAATGTGCTTGGACATTATTTGTAATGAAATATTGCATCATTTAAAGCAACAGCAGCGAATGTGAGGTGGTTTCATGTGGTGTGTCTTTGAAAAGAGACGGTGAGCAGCAGCTATGTATCAAAGAGCAGCGGCTTTGCTCTTTTGGGGACCATTCTGGTGTCCAGCGTTTCAGTTCTTGCTGATGATCCAGCCTTACGTATGCTGATGGGATTTATTGAGAGTCCTTAGAGACATGTTTCCTTCTCCTGGCTGTCACAGACAAACACTATGGGAACATAATGTTGTGGGAATATTATTTTTCAGTACCTCTCATGATTTTCTATGGCCTGACATTGTGATTGCTGTTAGGAAAAGGGAATGGCTTTGATCAGGCTATGGAAGGGTATAAAAAATAAACCATGAAAATAGATGGTGGAGCAGTAGGAAACACACATAACTGCGGAGCAGAGCCACATCTGTTTCCCTTATTGGCCATATGAATCTTGGTCAGAAGAAGCAGGAGTGTTTCTCACTCCCCATTCAGACCCTGTCTGTGTACACCAGGTCTTTGAGACCTAAATACATGAAAGCTGCCTCCTCCTTCCATTCTCGCTGTCTGAGGCACTCTGCTTGGGGCTCTCTCTTGTGTTGAGCCTGGAAGAGAGTTTTCCCTGGATCAATATTTCAAGCCTTTGGTTTGGAGGCTCAATGCAATTCCCCAGCACAGGACCGCGGTGCTCAGGGAGCTGCTGGCCTCATCCCCTTTGCTTGGATATGCACACTGAACAGTCTGGCTTGGTATTTTTGTCCAGCTGGCAGTGACCCAGTTTGCCTCTGCAGTTGTGCCATGTTGCAAAACCTCTGTCAAGGGTTTCCTGCAAACCTGAAGGACGTGATGTCTCCACTGCTTGTGCCAGGTAACTCCTCCAAGGCAGAGCTGGGATGACTCCTTGATTGGCATCTCTGGCCCTTGCTTTGGTTTGTTTATGAAGGGGTAAGTCCCTTCATACGCTGATCAAGCCTGTCCTTTAGAGTGTGTGTGTGTGGGTTAATAGCATTTGCTCTCAGCAGAGGGCTGTGCTGATGTCCTGCTGCAAGGTTTTCTGCTGCTCACCATAAATGCATTTATAGAATCATAGAATAGTTGGGGTTGGAAAGGACCTTAAGATTCCAACCCCCCTGCCGTGGGCAGGGACACCTCACACTAAACCATGTCACCCAAGGCTCTGTCCAACCTGGCCTTGAACACTGCCAGGGATGGAGCATTCACAACCTCCCTGGGCAACCCATTCCAGTGCCTCACCACCCTTACAGTAAAGAACTTCGTCCTTATATCCAATCTAAACTTTCCCTGTTTAAGTTTTAACCCATTACCCCTTGTCCTATCACTACAGTCCCTAATGAAGAGTCCCTCCCCAGCATCCCTATAGGCCCCCTTCAGATACTGGAAGGGTGCTATGAGGTCTCCACGCAGCCTTCTCTTCTCCAGGCTGAACAGCCCCAACTTTCTCAGCCTCAAATAGTTACTTTATGTTCAGTTTCATTGTGCAGTCTTGTCCTTTCATCTCAAAATTCTCTCCTTTTGTCATCTTCAGCTGTATTTATTTCAGTGAAATCATACCCTAACTCAGCCTTCAGTGTGCTAGGGCAAGCAAGTCAGGATCTTTCAATCACTTCTCCTATGGTAGAGTCTCCACTTCCCCTCTGTTATCCTAATGGCCTTTATTCTTCTTTTACATTTTCTGGTTCCATTTTTGTTAGTATTAACTATGTGTTACAGAATTGCATGCCACAGTCTAAAGAATGGATCACCATTGCCATGTATTTCTTCTTCTCTCTGCTGAAAGTTGCTGAATAGATCTTGGGATCGTACTAATATCATTCATAGGCTCGCTGCAGAGTCATCTCACAATGATAAAACAGAATGGATCTTGGTCTTATTCTCTCTGCCATTTTCAGCTGAGTCCCAGCTAAATATTCTGTGACAATTCCCTAAGTATGTGATTTTACTTCTTCTATCCTCTATATTCATAAATTGGTCCCACTTTTTTTCTGCTTCACAGATGGGTCTGGCTTATTTATTGACCTTAAAGATCACAGCTTTGGTCCTCCACTGTAGGAGGGATGCATCCCGCTTCTGTGCCAGGAGCACACTGTCCACTATGCCCAGTTCTTCTGGAAGGGTTCAGTAATTAAAACTGTTAAGTTAAGATTAATCCCAAGATCAAGGACTTCTACCAGAAACCTCTCTCTGCTGCAGCAGCTTTCCTTCCAACTCGGTAACTCATTCTTTGCCCTCCTAACCCAGAAATCCCATCGCAGCCCTCATCTCCTGCCAAACAAATCACGTCTCAGGACTTCAGCTGAGCTGCGTGTCATTCATGTTAGCATGAAGGGAAAGTAGGGTGTGCAATGCCATGACTTGGAGTGGTTTAAGGGGTCGTGGAACAGTGAGTCATTGTTAACGTCTGTCTGTCCTTGAGAAGCCTTGAGAGCCCTGTCTGCTCGCAGCCTGGCAATAACCATTGAGGAGGTGACTCAGAGGGGGGTAAACCACACCACAGGTTAATCTTTAACTAAGATTTTAAGAGCTCTCACACACGCATGGCTTCTAACCCACTCGATGCAGGAGCCTGCGTCACCGGCCTTCCTGTGTTTGCTATGGAGACCCATCTGCAGGTCCATGAGGAAGTGATCCCAGCAGGCAGAAAAATAGGGAAGACTTGTTTCAGGTCCCCTTTGCTGTGAAGCCCAGCTCCATGGCATCACCATCTGCAGTGGCTTCCTGACAGCAGCTTGTCCCACCGGCTGCTGCAGATGAATCCATTCTGCTGTGCTTTACCTGGGAACCGCTCCGTGTACTATTACTGCTTGGGAGACAGGTTTGCTTGCTTGCTTCTTTTGTTGTATTTGCCTCAGGGGAAACCTCCTGGTGTGGTTTAGGGGTGAGGCCCGGATGCAAGTGATGGCACAAAGATGTGGCAGAGGAAGGAGACCGGGAGGGACCTCGTCGGGCCATGACTAAAACTGGTCCTGTGGAAGCAAGGGAAAGGATGACAAGCTGCTGAGTCCTCCTGAGAGCCACTCCTATTGCATGGAGGGTAGCTTTGGGGAAGGCGGTTACAATGGGGAATTCTTGTCTATAGTCCTGCATGGCACTGGCTTTTATTTTCATGTTGCTGGTCAAGGTAAACCCTGAAAGGCAAGAGCACTGCGAAAGGAAGAAGGGAAAAGAGTCACAGCGAGAAAGTATCTTCATTTTTGTCTTGTCTGTATTAGGCTTTTACATGGAGATGGATATGGAAATGTGAAGCAAAGAACCTTCAATTTGCAAATACTAGAATAAGCTTAACATTTCCTATTGAAGTCCCCATAGGCAACCCAGCCTGTTCTTTACCGTGGAACAGGATGGGCCACGGGGTTTCCACAGCCTCTCCTCTATCACTTCCCACAGTGACTGCATCCCAGGGAACCTTCAGACTTCATGCCAGCTGCCAGCACCTCCCATGAAAGGCTGCTCTGCCCTGGGTCTGTCTATGGTGATTTCCCTGCAGTGGGAGCAGTACAGACCCTGCAAGTGGAATTGCGCCTTTCCGAGGCCATGGATCACAATAAATCTTATCATTGAAAGCAGGCTGGAGAACAAGGAGGATCCCTTCATCTCTTCAGGCTCTGCTTCTCTTGTCTCCAACTCTGCCATTCAAGGACTTGCTGAAACACATGGAAACACTGATAATGCTTTTAGTGCTGCAAAACTCTCTGTGGGAAACAGCAAAGCAACACAAGAGGGAGGGCAGCAAAACAACATGGACAGGTTTTCAAAGATCCCCAAATAATCCATTTGGCATCTAATCCATGTTGGCAGCTTCACACGTGTATTCAAGGGGAGGGGGGCTTCCTCTTCAGTGGAGATGCTTACTGATCCCACTACCTACAGAACGTTTGAGGATGGACACAGATAAGCAGAACTGCCTAAATGACAAGGGAGTCCAGGGTTCGCTAGTCCTGCTGTGCCAAAGCAGTAAGTACAGCTAGTTCTCATGTACCCTTCTCAGCTGGTGCTGAGCCATTAAGCCTTCGCACTTCATTTGCCTGCCAATAACAGAGGCAGGAGGGCAGGCAGGCCAGCTCCTCTCACCTCTTCTCTCTGTTGCTGAGACCTGTCTGCTTTTTGAGGTGATGATTTGGGGTTGATCAGTCAAATACTGAGCTGGGAAATGTTTTCCTCTGTCTCTCACCATTCTTCCTTCTCACTGCTCTTCCATTGCCTTATGAAAGGTGAGACTGTTGGGGGAGAGGAGTAAGACTGATTATTGATTGCCTGTCTGAAGAATAGATAGGGTCCTGTTTGTATGCTGGGGAGAAGGTACAGCACTGTTCAGGTAGGGAATCTGTGAGCTGGAAACCCCTGGCTGCTTCCTTAAGTCTCCAGGAGTTGAAGGCACGAGATGATGTGTGCTCCCTCCTCTGCCTAGATTTCAGTGCAGCCTTTTTGGTTCTTCACGCTGCTATGGAAGTGGATGATGGATGTCAAGATACTGAGGGGGTGTGTGTGTGTGTGTGTGTGTGTATGTGCTTGGGGCTCTGGATTCTTTATATCTCCAGTCCTGGCTACGTTTTCTGTTCTGCACAACTGTTTTCTGTGCCTGTTCCTGCTCACAGGAGGGTGCGGAACCCCTTTACCTCGTGGTGTCAACACAGTGCTGGTACAGTCACCTCTGCTGTCTTCCCTGGTGTAACTCGTGTTAACTATCGTGTTTGCAACCACAGGGAAAGTGATTATTTTCTAAACCAGGTGGCGAGTGGCTTCCCTTGAAGGGAAGCATCCCTCTCTATGCTGGTACTCAATGGGAAATGGGCCGACCTGGATCTCTGGAAAGATGAGCTGGGGCCCTGCTGAATTATTGAGCACACACCAGAGTCATCAGCTCAGAGAGAAAGAGAAGCACCAGCTTAGGTCACAGGTGTGGGATGGACATTATTAGCTTCAAGAGCACAGGAGTGTAACTGATCTGCCTCATGCACTTGTGCTCTCCTGTCTGGATCTGCGTCACAGCTGCTTGGTACTATGGCACAGATGCTCATCTTGGTTTGGTGGCCCTCTCTGGAGCCATAGAGAGTTGCAAAAGCCCAGCTTCACAGTATGGAATCCCCCCCTCCTTTTCAGAGGCAAGACCTCCCTCTTAGGGAGGAGCAGCAACCTCAGGTCACACGCATGGAAACTGAGGCACAGTGTTTCAGTCTAACACTTGAACGTGTTGGCCACAGTTAAACCCCCTTTACTCACTACATAAGCAGGTTTGCAGAGGGCACAATCACCAGCAACTGCAGCAGGAGGCCCATTGGAGTTTAAATGTGCACAGCTCTGGTGAACAAACAGGTTGTCTAATGAGATGACTTAGTTGCCCAAGTATGTGTGTTTGCTCCTCAAGTTTTGGTGCAGGCTGTGTGCCCAAGGCTATAAGGAGAGATAAGGTGGTTGAAAATAAGATCCCATCTCCAAGCTATGCCCGAGATCTCTGAGATCCCCCCACCTGTGCATGTCCGAACACAATGGTGAATGTCCTTCTGCCCCTTTGGCCACCAGAATCTGCTGTGAAGCAAGAAGAGGACAGGATGGGATGCAGCAGTGTGCAAAGAGTCATACAGCTTCTTCTTGCTTGGTGGCACTGGCCCTTACCAGCACTGGCAGATGGCTGGTGCACCCATAGAAGATGCTGTCTCACTCAAAGGGGACAGTATCCCTTACCCCGTATGAGGCACCCTGTCCTGTGCCTGAAGGAATTTCTACCACATCCTCAGGCAGTGATCTTGCACACTTTTTGCTTCTTTCTCTTGCTTTAGTGATACATTAAAATAGTTTATTACTGGAGGAGGCCTACCTTATCTGTAAACCTTTTTTCCTATATCGCCACCTTCTCATTACAAATAATCCATGACTAAGCTCATATAAGCCAAAGCAGTATGATGAACATCCTGTAATCGGGCTCATTTTTGTTTGCAGTTGCCTGAGAAGGCCTCTGACATCACCCTCAGAATGTCTTATTCCACTGTAAGGTGACACTGACAGAGCAGCACAAGGGCACTGGGTTCTGCTCACTACTTTGTCAATAGAGACGGTGGGGTGAGTCTGCCCGTGGACCTTTTCAGACGTGGTATCTCAGTGCATTGCTCATGCTCAAGTGAGGTGACAAGTGAACAGTGGCTCAAAGTGTTTGAAGAACCATTAGGGCAGGTTATATTCCCTTTTCCCTCTTCCTCACACCTATCCTGTGACCTCCGGATCCTGTGCTTCATGAGTTCAACTGTGCTGGCAGAAGATCAATAGGGCAAACCCTATCTTTCATGTAGAGTTGAAGTGAACTGCTCAACTGCACCAGAGTTCAGCTAGGGAACTTCTCTTCTAAGTCTGGTCCTTTTTCTTTGTCTCAATGACAGCTTGTCATGGTTTCTTGGGACCAAAGAAACATTGGTTGTTTTCCCCTGTTAAAAACTACCAGTCCTTGAACACCAAAATAGAGCACTTGTGTTTGGAGGTGAGAAGTTGACTCCTGGCAGTGTCCTTTGGTCCAGAGCTACCTTGTGAAAATCTGCCTGTGCTGGGTCAGATATTGACCTTTGAAAAGCCAATAGCTGTAAACACACTACAGGGTGTTCAGTGGGTTTTGCAAGGTTTCTAACTCTTAATCTCTGAAGAATCTGCACTCATTGAGTATGGTCTGGGCCTCTCACCACAATTTCAGGAGCGAGATTAGAGGGAGCCAAGTGAGGAAAAGGGGGCAAAGCTGCTTAAATTAAATACCTGGTATCTGTCTTCTGAATAGGAATTTTAGGCTGTCTGAAAAGAATTCAGGTTAGATATAAGGAAGAAATTCTTCACTGTGAGGGTGGTGAGGCACTGGAATGGGTTGCCCAAGGAAGTTGTGAATGCTCCATCCCTGGCAGTGTTCAAGGCCAGGTTGGACAGAGCCTTGGGTGCCATGGTTTAGTGTGAGGTGTCCCTGCCCATGGCAGGGGGGTTGGAACTGGATGATCTTAAGGTCCTATCAAACCCAAACCATTCTGTGATTCTATGATTCTATGAAAAGCAGAGGAGATGATATCAGTTTCAGGTATACTTTAACACCTTATACCTCACCGATGTGGAAGCAAGTTTCAGGATCAGTGTTTTGTGGAATGTTCTGTCAGAAAAGGCTTTTATTTTTTTTGAAATGCAGGATGAAGAGAAGGGCTGGAATGGCCCTGCCCGATTTTCTGTCACCCTGTGTACAAGATGTTGCTGGCTGGCTGTACCACCATCCCTCTGGGCGCAGGAATTGGACTTTGGCTAGGGAACTGGGTACCACTTCCAAACCCAAACCATTATATGATTCGATGGTACAGATAAGCTTTTGCCTGCCCAGAGGAGACCAACCCCTCTGCAGAATTCCCATGCTGCCTGGCAGTACCTGTCAGTGGGAGAAGGGTTGGTTGTTCTTCCTTTGGTGTACCTAGCTCTTGGTCTCCAAACTGGAAGTACCTTGGCTTGCAGGAGCAGCAGAGACTTGCTTTTTCCACCTTAGATCACAAGGCTGCGGTTGATGGTTGGTGCTTCATGATGGAGGGTCTCAGCTGGTTTGTCTGTTCCATGTGCTCCCTGGGCAGTGCTCTGGGAGTGGATGAATAAGGAGCCTGTGTGATACAGCATGTGGAGGGAACGCAGGTGTTGCAGTGCTCCGGCACACCATAAACTCAGCCAGCCTGACTTGTGTTCCTCTGAACAGTGCTGCTCACACGTAGGGCAGTAACGCTGCAGACCTTTAACCCACCTTCCAGTAAGAAAGAGATTGTAAACGCAGCAGTGATAACACGTAGTAAAGCAGCCATTTATGATGCTTCAGCAGGTGAGCCTATTTACTTTAAGTACCTTTCTTTGGGACGGGATAGTGCTGCGCCCCTAGACAGGCCTTCCCCTCCAGTATCATCATGTCAAATCCTGGTTTATTTAAGAAGAGCACAGGTATCTTGATTTCTCTCAGAAGCACCTTGCTCAAATGGTCTCAAATTGAGGCCACCAGGGTTTCTACAGCAATCTTTGAGACAGCTGGAATAGATTCAGAGATTGTAGAACGACGTCAAACAGGACTGCTGAGCCCAAGTGTGGCTTCAGTGTCACTGACCTAGTATTAGTGGCTGTAGCCACCTGACTCCACATCACTTCTTACCTGTGCTGGGTCCAGTGCTTTAGCTAGGAAATGCCAAATACACCATTTCAATGGGAGCTAAACCCTGCAGCGAAGTAGTTTACAGAAGCTTGAACACAGCAGGATTCAATGCATTATGTATGGAGCAGCCCTCTGGAACTGCACAGGCACCTAAGTTATGCCTGTAGGAAAACAGTAATTGAAAACCTCCTTCTTCCCCACCTCTTGGAGCTGCCTTGCGTTAAATATTAACAGCCTTGGTTCATCAATTCCCTGGTTCACTTGGCTTCTTTTAACAACAGATGTAGTTACAACAACTCCTCTGCCTCCGTCCCTGCTCCTGTCAGCACAGCCCATGGTGAAACCCAAGACTCCAGTGCTGTAACTCTGCCTGCAGAGCCTGGCTGCTGCCCTGGTCGTGTGGTCTCCTCCATCTGTCTCCTTGGGATCACCAATGCATCCTGCTTTCCGCATCTGGGATTAGCTTGTGCTGTGGGCCACTGGTTGCAGAGAAGGGTTGGTTAAAGGACGCAGAGAAAAGGAGCCCACAGGAAGGAGTTTCTGCTGTCAGAGGGGTGAGCATGGCCAGCAACTCCAGCACACTGCCCCGGGTGACTTTCCAGACACCAGAGAAACCTGGGGAGGAATCGTCACACAGGAAACTGGGCAAGTTAACCATCAAGTACAACCGCAAAGACCTACAGCGCTGGCTGGACCTGGAGGAATGGATCAACACCCAACTGCAGGAGCTGTACCAGTGCCGGGTGAGTAACTGGGGCAGATCAGCCCCTCGCTCATCGGGTGAATGGGACCAGTGTCCCTTGTGCTGGGACAGAAGTGTGCTTGCTCTGACCCACTGGAAGTAGCTCCTCATCTTCAGTCTTCGTTAGGTATCTTATTGCCACCTGCTACAGCACTGACTGGTGTATCTGCAGTCAGAGGAGCTTGCACCAGTATAATCCAACTAGCTTTAAACTGCCTGGTCTTGTACCTGCTGGGGGTGTAGCTATTGCTCACAGAACCTAGAGAGATGTACAGACCTGGAATGCTGCTTGTTGCTGAGCTCCACATACAGACTGTCTTTGCTGCAAGTGGTAGCTAAGCAAGATGGGTTAGAATTATTAGTGTAGCCTTGTTCCTTTGGTCACAATAGCGTAGCTGTACCTGCTGTTTGAATGAGGCACTTTGGATAATGCTGTACCTGTAGCTGCAGAGTTGCGGCTGCCCCATCCCTGGCAGTGTTCAAGGCCAGGTTGGACAGAGCTTAGAGCAACCTGGTCTAGTAGAAGGTGTTCCTGCTCATGGCCGGGGGTTTGGAACTGGATGAGCTTTAAGGTCCCTTCCCAACCCAGTCTAGTCTGTGAATCTGATTCTATGATCATGTCATGTACATAGGAGCAGAAAACACACATGACCTAGACCTAGTCAGACAGGCAACATTCAGTGTGTCTGTGCAGTGCTCATGGTTGTCCTGGTGAGAGATTGCTCTTCAAAATAACAGTGCCAGTGATGGCATCACTTGCTGACCTGCCTGCACTGGCATTTAAGGAACTGTCCCCTGGGTCTACCTGGTTGGTAGCTCAGTACAGAGCTACCTGTACTGAGCTACCTGACTGTTGAGATTTGCTAGAGATAAGCAATGGGAATGGCTGCTGCTTAGAGTAACAGAACATCTTGCTCTTTGGCAAATTGTTGTGGTTTTAGAGGACATTTGGGTTTGTGTGTGGGGTTTTTTGAGATAGATGAAAGCACCTGGTACCACCAGTAACGTAATCCAAGATGAGGATCCCCATGTGCTTCACTTACTTGCCCAAGTCTACAGATGTGCACTTGTAAAGGTGTCAGAAAACCAAGCCAGGTTACATTACCACTTCTGGTTTTCTGAGAACTGGGAGCTGTTCACTGTCTTCAAAGTAGCTGCCCAAAGGGCATATTTTTTTCCTACTACAAAATCCCAGCAGGCAAAAGTGCAAAATCCAGCCATGCCCTTACAGGAACAGATTGCCAGTAGATTGCCTCCCTAGCACCTCTCCTGCACAACAGGTTTCCCAACTTCCTGCTATATTTGGGCCAACCAAAGAGATTTGCTATAGGGAACTACACAATATGATGCTTTGCCAGGTCAGAGATTGTTAGTAGGGTACAACAGGGGGGGTTACACAGGATCTCTTCAATTAAATACATGTGCCATAGTAAATTACTTGTAATCACCCAGGTGCCAGCAGGTCCTGCTAATTGTGGCAAGGCTAGTTTGCCCTGCTAGTCTGGGCTTCCTTGGATCCATTGATTTCCATTAATTTGTCTTTTTGTCAGCTTCTTCCACAGCTCCACCTGCCCTGGGCAGTGCAATGTTCCTCAGTGTCTTCCAGAAACCTGTGTTTCTGGAAGAAACACTTCTAGAAAGGAAGGGTATAGAATGATGGAATGGTTTGGCTTGGAAAGGACCTTAAGATCATCCAGTTCCAACCCCCCTGCCATGGGCAGGGACACCTCACACTAAACCATGTCACCCAAGGCTCTGTCCAACCTGGCCTTGAACACTGCCAGGGATGGAGCATTCACAACCTCCCTCGGCAACCCATTCCAGTGCCTCAGCACCCTCGCAGTAAAGAACTTCTTCCTTATATCCAACCTGAACTTCCCCTGTTTAAGTTTAAACCCATTGCCCCTTGTCCTGTCACTACAGTCCCTGATGAAAAGTCCATCTCCAGAGTCAGAATGAACAGCACTGTAGGTTCAATTGCAGCAAGGTTAGTTCAAGCATTGCCTCCTGATACAGATAACCTGAATGCTATGCTATTCACTGTCATGAGGCTTTTTGCAACAAAACTAAGAACCAGGAGACAATGTTGATTTTCGAGATGATTCCCTGCACATGGAAGCCATAACACCATCCATACTTGGACCCAAAAGCCCATAGGTTCCAACTCTTTCTCACTCTCCTTGCTTATTTAGCTTCTTAGCCAGAGACAAAGTCAGGCTGGATCAACACCTGGTCTAAACAGTCACATTATAACTATTATTTGGAAGAGGAAATGCTGCATGGGTCGCAGTACAATATATTTAAGTCTGGTTTATTAGTTACTATCAGGTCAGTTGCATTACAAAGCTGAACAAAGGTTTTCTACTTCATCTCTGGCTTGGTATCAGAGAACAAGTTTCTTTTTTCCCTGTAAGTATTGCCTTTATTGCACAATGTTTTACATTCACATCCATAAATGCTACCCAGCAATCACGTACTATGTTGTTTAGTCAGTATCCTTATTCTGATTACTATTAAAATATCACTAGTGTTGCACTGTCAAAGATTATTTTGCAAATCCATTGAAAACCACAGCCTGCTTTTCATGCAGTCTGGTAAGGACACGTGGACCTAAAATATATCTGTGATCTAGTTTACAACTGTTTCAACTAACACCCCCATGCATGACAAGATTATTACTCCAATCACCAAAGCTTGGGGTTTCTCTCACATTAAAGGAGACTATTATACCCCTCTCATGTCTATTAGAGAAAGCTGGCAAGTTATTGTTAGGCCTCTGAAAAGCTTTACTGTTTTTCTCTCCATTACTGCAAAAAGCCTTAGTAGAAATCCCAACTGTGTGAATGTATTTAGCCTAATTTCCTTGTATTACTTGTACTTCTCTAAGATTAAGCCCACTGGATTTCTGTCAGCTGGGTTTTCCCACTGAGCAGTGGTATCAAGAGTTGAGGTGGGAAAAGATGAAGAACGTATGCATCAGGATGTGCAGCTGTAGCAGACACCAGAGAGGGACAGGAATCTGTGCTCTAAGAATCTCCTTATTTTGAGACAATTTGTATCTTGACCTCAACTGTGCAGCAGTTCTATGCAACTAGTTCCTCCCCACTTCAAAGTGAGGAGGAAGAAGCTGCTCCCTTCTTTAAAGATGGCCTCCAGAGTCCTTAAAGTTTGAAGGTTTGTTAAGTATGGGTTGGTTTTATTCTTTTTAGCTAAGAGAGGAAACAGAGGCAGCAGCTCCTGAACCACAAATTGACCTTGAAGATCTCCTGGAGGTCCCTAATGAAGAACAGAAATTAAAACTACAGGTCAGAGGGACTGGGGACTTTTAAGTTGGGACTTCCTTCAGAAGTAGTTGCATGTATGTGTATATAGTGTTACATGTATATGTATATTTATATAGTGTTGCATGGTGGTTCCCTGTGCCATATTATGTCAAATGTAGTAAGATTATATATCCTTTCTGTAGAGAGGGGAGAAGAGATCAACTCGTAGAATACTGAGATGACTCCTCCCTATTTTTGCTTTTAGGAAATCCTCCATGAGTGCTCCAACCCGACAGAGGTGAGTGAAGCACCATCAATATATATATGTTATACTGTGCTGGGAGAGTGTGTCTTTGTTGCTGCTTCACTGAATAGCCACAGTATTCCTGTGCCTAACACAACGCTGCAAATTTGTTTAATTCCCAATGGAAAGTGTTTGCTGCTTTATTCTGCTGTGTTAGAAAAGTACATGTAAATCTACATCATATACATGATGAGGGCAGAGCAGTGAAGCAAATAAGGAATTACACATTATAACCAAAGTCCATTTCATGTTTTGGACATCCTAACCTGACCAAGGTGAGTTGCTATTTGGACCTCAGCATAGAAAATCCATAGACAGGGATTACAGCTCACATAACCATCTTTCACACTGTTAAAAAAATGCATTCTTAGCTTAAACCACTCTACTGCTATGAATGACAAGAATGTTGGATGGCCCTCAGATTGGATTGGGCAGATAATTGTTGAGTAGTGGCTACATAAGTCAGTTTTTCAAGTTTGGTTTTCTTCCCATGTGAAGTTTACAAGTACTGCTTTTGAGTCAGAGAGTTGAAGAACTCCCACAAGCTGTCACAATGTCCAAAGGAATGGAACCCAATACTTTGCAGTGTGGTGCATGCACCACACAACAGTCGCCTTTGCTGTACTGCATATCTGTGCAAAATGGGGTCCCCCACCACTGCTTCAATCACACGCATTGCATGTGCTAGGACATCATTAATCAGTCTCTATATCTTGTCAAGCCTATGTAGCTGTACAGTGATGAACATACAGAAAATGAGGTGGATACACAACCATCACTGAAATTTAACTTTGCTGTAGTAATCATTACAGAGAGTCTCCTAGCAAGTATTCAGCAGACAAGGCTGGCAATAGGGAAATTTCAGATCTTAGGCAAGAACCCCACATTCCCAGAGATGTAACTGGAGTTTGCTCTACTGCTTGATGAGCCCTGAAAGTGTATTGTGGACAGCATGGTACTTGCTAACTACAAATACTGCTGTCCCATTAGCAAATCTATGTCCTTTCATCCTGGTGATCTTGAATCCAGTCCCCTTGAAAGATCACAGCAGCCTATTTGCAGAAAGAGGAAATCACAGAATCATAGAATAGTTAGGGTTGGAAAGGACCTTAAGATCATCCAGTTCCAACCCCCCTGCCATGGGCAGGGACACCTCACACTAAACCATGTCACCCAAGGCCTCGTCCAACCTGGTCTTGAACACGGCCAGGGATGGAGCATTCACAACTTCCCTGGGCAACACATTCCAGTGCCTCACCACCCTTACAGTAAAGAACTTCCTCCTTATATCCAATCTAAACTTCCCCTGTTTAAGTTTGAACCTGTTACCCCTCGTCCTATCACTACAGTCCCTAATGAAGAGTCCCTCCCCAGCATCCCTATAGGCCCCCTTCAGATACTGGAAGGCTGCTATGAGATCTCCACGCAGCCTTCTCTTCTCCAGGCTGAACAGCCCCAACTTTCTCAGCCTATCTTCATACGGGAGGTGCTCCAGTCCCCTGATCATCCTTGTGGCCTCCTCTGGACTTGTTCCAACAGTTCCATGTCCTTTTTATGTTGAGGACACCAGAACTGCACACAGTGCTCCAAGTGAGGTCTCACGAGAAAATAAACTGGTTTGCCCTGAAGGGACTGACTGAAAAGGTACGTATGATCCTAGGCATTTACTTCCAGAGTATGCTGTGGCAGGCAACCTCTGATCACCCAAGAGAGGAAGCTGTGCTTCCTCACAGCACAAATGGTGAGCTGCAGTACTTCCAGTGACCTTGCCTAATTACAAGGACATGTAGCTCTGTCTTTGGGTGAAGAAAGGTTGCACACTCCATTATGGCGATGTTACATTGTCATGCAAAGTGTAAAATTTGCTCTAGTCACATTAACTTCTGTTTGGAATAACCAGATGGTCCAGTTTAGTTCATAGTCCTTGGCTGTGTCAGCAAAGTAGTTGGGGTTTATCTCCATTAACTGCTGAACTATCTGCTCTGCCTGTCCTCAGCCCCTGCTCCAGGTTATCATTAGTCCTATGTGTGTTTTGCTCCACCTCTTCTCTGCCAGCCACTTCCTTGTAGAATTGGCATGGTTTCGAGATGGTTTGCAATGCACAACATGGAGCTTTACAGGTTCTACAAGAGGGACAACTTGCTTTGCCCTAGATTGGGAGGGCTGCAGAAGTGGGCAGGAAGTAATGGTAGCAACAGGAAGCAGTGGAACCTAACAGAGGACAATGGCATCTTCAGGTCATCTCAAGGTGGAAAAAGCAGGTATCTGGAATGAAGAAAGGGGAGGCTGGCTCCTGATGAAAAGGTATGGCTGCTCCAGAGGTAGACAAGGGAAGGGAAATAGAAGGGCTTTTAGATCCTTCTCATCCATGCAAAGGTCTCCTTTCCTAAGCTAGAATTCTGGTTTTTGCTCAGCATTAAGGCAAATGTGGGAATAATGCAAGTGCCATAGCAAACTCCGGGCTGCTGAGTGCTGGAACTGACATACTTCTTCAACCAATTCTCATTCTAGGACTTCATTACAGAACTGCTTAGTCGATTGAAAGGTCTCCGGAGAGTCACCAATCCTCAGAAGAAATGACCTTGCCCCCATGGAACACCCAGCTTTGGTCACAAGGGAATATGTATCTTCCCCACAAAACCCAGGATCAGAAACATCACTTCAGAATATGTTTAAGACTTACTGATATTGAGAAAACATTACCAAGTTTGTGAACTTTACACCAGTGGTTTGAAGTCTCAGCTCATCCCAGATCTACGCATACAGCAGGGAGCTAGACTGTACATATTCCTGATTCTTAAAGGGCATGTTAACCTGGGGAACAGGCCAAGATGTCCTTCCTTTAGTTTCTTCTACGAATTTCCACGCTGGCTGAGAAGCACTGAATACAGTTCTCAGGAGCTCATCAAGACTTCTTTCTTTCCATCCACTGCAAGGAAAACAAGGCATTGGTTATCACTCATTCATCAACATGGAAAATCAGTTACTGTTAAGCTGCACCCTGTTTCAGTCTGGCTGGGACCCAGCTGTGATCTCCTGCCTGTTACTGCTGTACCTGACTGTACAGCATTACACGTACTTTGTAGGTCTTATGAAGCCTCTGTTATCATGGTGGTTGGACAGAAAATATATGGTAGGATGGAAGGAAAATGAGTGCACCTGATCTACTTAAGGGGAAACAACTGCTAAGGTTAATGGAAGAGACTGTTTTTCCTTTTTGTGGAATTTAGGACTTGCTTGTTTAGAAGATGCTTTTAAATTATTAAGATCTGGGAATGATTTTAGTCATCATTTAAAAATGGAAAAATGCTTATTTTGTATATTAAACCACAGAAAACCAGACATGCACTGCTTGCTTTTGCTCTCTTTTTAGACACTAACAAAAAACTGAAATGAGAAAATATTTGCTCTCAATTTTCCTGCAGGGAGCATCTCAGAGCAAGTCTTTTGCCGACAGGTTGGTCTCACAAATGAGATATGAAGTAGGACAGATTGTCTTGAGGCAAAAACTCTTCTGGCTACAATATTGTGTGGCTGGAAAAATACAGAGGAAACTACATCCAGCCTCTCAGCAAGCCAGTAACTTGACACATGTGGCTAGGAACTAAGACAGCAAATGGAGGCTGGTTGCTCAGGCAGAGCAGCCTCTCAACATCATGTCCTGCCCCTATGCTCTCATGCAGCAGGGGTAACAAAGCAAGATGTGGCCAGTGCTGGATGATTTCTCAGCTCACTGGTGCAAAAAGAAAAAGGTGGATGCAAGGCAACCAGAGCAATTTCTTCTTTTTTTTAGTTCTTAAAAACAGTAAATCATACTTGCTTTTATTTACCATTCTTTAAACCAGCTGCCACTTAACCCTGCTGTTTCTCAGCATCATCACTCATGTAAGGCTGTAATGTCTGGTATGCACGTACTGTGTGAGAATGTGTCTTTAAAGGAACTTTGCCCTCTTGATTATACCAAGATAACTCAGAATGCGTGAAAGTTCATATGCTTTTCTAACTGAGGGTTTATGAAGGTGTATAAAATAACCATTAATGCAATCCTCCCTTAGTTATAATCAACACTTATATTGCCCTTAAAATATCCTGGCTGCTACATTTAGACACGTGACCATGTTACAGCATTCGAGGTTACATGCAGACGCAGCAAATGCAAGTTAATGCAGTTTAACTAAGATGAGACCTCTCTTTGTAAGATAATCTGAGTTCAATCTTGTGTTAGCCTTATTTTCACTTCTTGTTGGGGGTGGAGCCTACATTTGATATTCCACACACAAAACATTCTCAGAGGGAAACAAAAACTACTTGTGCCCTTATGGTATGCTCCAAAGATAGAAACAAAGAAGCTGATTCTCTTTCTTGAAGATAGCAAGCTCTTTTCCGTCCTTGAATGGCTAAGACTGAAGTCAATATGGTCTGCAAGGAACTGATTGTTTACCAGTATCCTTTCAAAGACAAGGACAGAGAGTAAGCAACAGTTAAGAGTCCGCTGCCCACGTAAAGGTCATGCAACATTCCTCTTCCACAATGACAGATTCAGCTATGTTTGCTTCCTTCAGACAGCTAATTAAAATACCCCTTTTACCCTCCTCTATGGAGGTCATTGAGGCAGCAGCTCCAGTGGGAATGGCTTTTCAGGGGAAAGTGATTGGGCTGCCACTAAAATGGCCAATTACATGCAGAAAGCTCAGCAGCCACAAAAATGTCCATTAGTGGTGCAGGGAAAGCATCAGCATGTATGTATGAGTGAATAGACTCGTCCATGTATGACTAAGATCTAGCTCAGATTATTGGGTTGGGTGCATTTCTGGATTCCCTGGGATGGCCCCATAGAAACCAGTCTGGGGAACTAAATGAAGTGCTTCCGGCTGTAACCTGCTGCTTTACTACTGATGGGAATAGGGCAGGACTTACAAGACACAGGCTGCCTAACTGCACTAGGAGCTCAAAGTTAGCTTGTGGCCGATGAAGTACCCAAAATGCTGCAAAAAGCACATTAGCTCATACTAAGGTATTAGAAAAAAGAATTAAAATGTTGGAAAGGACACAGGCTGAAGCCCAAAGGAGTGGATCTTAGAAGAGATGTAAGAACAGGTATTTGCATCTTCTCCTGTACATGCAAAACACAAAGGATTAAACCTAAGACAGAACTGGGCTGTCTTGCTCTCAGGTTTATTATGCATGTGAAATAGCCATGAAAAAGTGTCATTCCTACAATAATACAAAGCCAGAATAGCATTTGGGTTTCATTTCTAAGACTACAGGCTCCTCAGGGCAGCGAGTCTCCACTTAAACTGTGTAACACAGGTCTCATTGTGAGCTCCTACACCATAACAACCCCAGTAGTTTTCCTATCCGCCTGTCCCAAAGAGACAAGCACTGCTGAAGCAAGGACTACCAGGACGAGGAAGATCCTCCACAAGAGTCAGGTTTTGCCACCCCATCCTAACAAAGGGCTTTGATGGCACTGCTGGATACACTTGTGATTTTTTTAGTGTACTAACCTGAAGTATTACTGTTCTACATTGCCTGATCCAGGTCTCTGTTGAAGGGCCTGATCCAGTCCAGCACGTTAGCACCAACCCATCTTCAGCAGTGGTTTAATTTGCTCACAGTGCATTCACCAGGGCTGGTTGAGGTGCAGGCAAACACTGTTTCATCAACACACCTGCACTTTACTACCTTAAGCACAGGGGCAGGGCAGTCAACTGGGAGTGGCAGTGCCAAACCAGACAGGCAAGATTCATTGGAAACTCCTTGTCAAAGGCAAATCTTTGACGTTTTTGCCATTGGAATTTTTCAGCCTTAGAGAGCTCTCTTAGAAGTCACACTGTAGTCCTGGGAAGAGCTCATCCTGATAGGATATTACAGACGATTTAGGCCAGGTTTTGTTGGGTATTTGAAGTAATTCTGGGTGCTTTGGTTACTGGCAAGTATCAGTTGCATTTGGGCTGTCTAAGGGGAGAGCATATTAAAACGAGCTTCCCTCATAGCCAGATAAAGAGCATCACACAAGTAACATCTGTATCCTACCAGGGGATAACAAACAGAGCCAAATCCCACTTCCAACTAAAAACACAACTCTTCCAGGCCACATGGCACCTCAGCACAGCCACTGCTGATCACAGCACTGTGCATCAGTAGTGTATTACCTTTACAAAGCACCCTTCATTTCAAGTACATAAGCAACACTGCCTTTAAAGGCAGAGCAGCTCCTGCACCTTTCCCAGCCACACCACAGAAACATTTTTGATGACTTCATGATCCATAATTTCTTTCCCTAAACCACTTGACACTAGGACTAACATCCCATTACGAGTAGGCAACACTTTGAAGAGGACTATTGGGCATTTCCAGGAGAGACTTTAACCACAGGCCTCTGTGAATAATTTTTATTATGCTTTGGAAGTTCTCATCACACACATAATCACAACATAGACAGTTTTCTTAGTGCAAAATGCTTTGCTGCCTGTTGAACCAGTGTGTAAACTGTTAGCAAAAGCAGGAAGTTACTTAACAGCCAGTCAGTACTGCCTTAAGCACACATCTTTATTGCTACCCGCACTGCCTTACCGTCTGTACTTAAGGATTCATATCCACCTCCTCACATCAAGTCCTCATTTATCCCCAAGCATTCATAGCAAACCCTGCACTTCTCTGGTTGTATTTGTGAAGATAAAGTCATGTGCCCTCTAAGCCTCTCTTCGATTACAACACATACTTCAGCTGTCCAAAACATCACCCATTTTGGCTGCAAATCCACATGGACTCTTCCCATCTGGCCAACTCTTCTCTCTTCCCATTCTCCACCTCTTTTTCTGCCCATGAAGAGTGTGATTACTTCTACTTGTGAGGAAGATGATAGCGTGAAGTGTGGTGGTCCTTCAGGTCAAACTCATCATGGCCTTCCCTGAGAAGCAAACACAAAGGGTAGTCAGAATGTACTCAGACAGGGAACTAAACCTTAGCCATGGTACAAGATGTCTCCCTGCAGCCCTTAACTACAAGCCAATCCCAGGGGTAAGCTGTGAGCACCTGACTGGCAGCCTCATGGAATGACTGCTTAAGATACTTGCTTGTAGCAAAAATATCTGAGGTCCTTTGTCTGCTCATCCTTGCCTGCTGGAATGGGAAATGACAACAGGTCCCTCTTGCCTGTTTGATTCTGTAACTCATGGCTCATTGTCAGCACCATGTCTGTGATCCCTGGGCACATTAGCAGCTCCTATGACAACAGTTGAAGTGACAGTCTGCTCCACACAACTCCGAAAAGTAACTGTGGTGGCTAAAAATGCAGTGCACTGGCAGCTGTCTCAACCATGCTCAGAAGCAGGCAGTGCTGAGTAAGACACAAGCTTTCATCTGCACCAGGCAACAGATAAACTCACCCCCCAGACTGCTGATTCTGCTTTTACTGATGTTTGCTGTCTGATACTTTTGTTTGGTTTGTTTTTAATCATCTAGCATTGCCAGTCATCTGTTTTATTACCATTTTCATTTGCTCTCCCCCAATCCATTTCCATCTCTTCACAAAAGCATTTGCAGGAAATGAGAGAATATACACAAAAGCATCTTTTATTATCTTATTATTCTTAGCATCCTGCTGTCTAAATGTCACCCAACACTGATCTGAGAACACAGCCAATTACCCAATACCTTGAGAAGTCATGCAAACTGTAAGGAATAGCTTTGTATTCAAAAGGAATTAACCCTCCAAATCTGAGACTTGAAACTTTTTGAGTCAATAATCAAGCTACAGATGTTTAAGAACCAAGACTATAGCTGCTGCAAGGCCTTACTGAAGAAAAAGGTTTGCCCATACATATTTCATCAAAGATTTTTGTGTATGATTCAAGACTGCAGAGTCTCAACCTAAGAAAAGCCTCAGGAATTTATACTGTCTGATCTCCCCTCTTATGGAAATCCAGCCCAGATCATTCATCAATGTCATTAACAAGCTGTAGGAGTCACTGAACAATGGTGTCGCTTATCCCATCCCACACAATGCAGCACACCAGCTGCTCCAGACTTCACTCAGACAATGTGCCCAAACACACACTGGAGCAGCACAGACAGAACATTCCTGTCTAGGACCAGTTTAGTCCCTGAAGTTTGGGATAACTACTGATTGCACAAGGTCTTTCCATAACCATTAACATCCAGCTCTGGGTTCTTCAAGTCTTCTCCTGCCTGCTTTTCTGCCCAATGGGAAGAACAAAAGCAGCCCACCTTACCTGTGACCAAAAGGAACTGAGAAACTTACCGAAAACAACGCTGGCAGTAGAGGTCTCCATCGCAGCCATGGCAGCGCAAAGCGGCGTCTTCATTGCAGATGCAGCACCATGGTAACTCATCCTCATCACTGTCATCTGCCATGGCAAGAGATGTGGTGGCTGGAGTCTGGCTCTAATTCACAAAGAAAACAGAGACACAGAATTGAAATCCCAGCAGGGACAACACAGAACTTTCATTGTAATGCATGATAGCCACAATGGCACTGTCACATGGTCTGTC